GGCAAGGCAAACAGCCTAAGCAAAGGGGCAGAGGCAGGTGGGGACTGGGGCTGGAGCTGGCATCGGAGCTGAGCCCCAGCATTTGGAGAGTCGGGGAGCCAATTCCGGAGAGTCACTGGCAGGAAGGGGCCACAAGGCTTAGGCTAGCATCCAGGCAAGAGAAAGGGGAGGGGCACAGAGGAGGTGGTGTCTGTGGGTACTGACAGGAGGGACACAGGAGGGAAGTGGGACCTGTAATGAGCTAAAGGGGCTCAGTTTCAAGACTGAGATAATTCTCCCAAAACTGTATGTGCCCCCTGCCAGGAGGGTCCCCCCTCACCTTTAAGAGAGCTGTGTGGAGACCCTTCAGGAGGAACTATCCACCTGGGAGGTGCTGCCAAGGTCAGTGATCGAGGGGGCACCTAGTGGGCACTGTGCCCAGAGGCAGCAGCAGCAAGGAGCCTTATGCCAGGAGCTGAGAGCAGGCAGGTGAGAAAGGGCATGGGAGGCCAAGCCCTGGTTCCGGGAAGTGGCCCTTGGAATCCTGCCAGCCCGTCCCCAGCCAGGCCTGACTCAGGGACCCTGCCAAACTTGTATTTCAGGTGTGTCCTGTTTTTACTAATATCACTGTTAATAATGAGGATTACTGTCAATACAGCACACGCATGTGGGTTCCAGGACTCCTGGTTCTCGTCTCCTTGCTGCTTCCTGAGCTCCTGTCTTCCCCCGACAGTGAGCCATCTCTAAACTCAATCCCAAGGCTTTATTCTTCTTGCTCCATCCCCGTCTTTGCAGACCTCAACTGCCTCAGCCTCCACCTCAACCTCTGTGTTAGATCTTTGCCTCTGTGCCTGCCATTTTGAGGGCTGGAGGCTTGGGGATCAAGCATTTATGAACTTCCTACCATGTATCAGATTCTATAACAAGCACTGCACACAAAACAGTCCTATTACTATTCTATTCTTCAGATCAAAAAAAAACCAACAAGGCTTTAGGAGCTCGTGAAATAACTACAAACTCAGGCCTTTCTGACTGCAAAACTGAGGTCTTTCCCTTTGCATATGTGATCATGACTAACCCACAAATATCTATTACAAGTTTTCCTCTATTCTCCCCAAACACCCACATGGGTGCCCCCATCACCTCACACTCGGCCTCTATAGAACGAGCTTGGCAGTTGCGTCTCATCCTCTGCTGCTCGATTTCCTACCTTGTCAAGGGTTTTAGACCTCTCCCCTGTTCACTTAGGATCCCATCCTTCCGGTCCTCCCAAAATGCATCCAAGAAGGCTGCTGAGGGCAATGGCTAACAAGGGGCGGCAGAAGGTTACCTTGTCCACTGCCCACCAGCAGGCATGTGACCATGCCCAAGCTGGTCCAGACTCCCCAAAGTAGCCCCTCGCCCCACTTTGCCTGCGTGAGTCCTACATCTCTCAACACTCTCCCTTTAGCACTTTTCTTCCTAATCTAACCATGAGGAACTGAATGGAATCCGCTTTGTTTCCATGCACCTGTAATAACTGAAACGATTACTCCAGACAGGCTGGTGGGGTGCAGTACAAACTCCAGGGCAGAGGTGTCCCAGGCTCTCACCAGAAGGCTCCCCTGGAAAGCACAGAGGACAAGGCTAAAGTTCAGATCCAGTTCCCTGCCTTCACACAGGCCACTGCCTAAGCAGTGACTGGAGGATTCTCAAAACTCCTTTGTTTCCAGTGAGGCCAGAAAAAAAGACTCATCCCTCCCCAGACTCACCCCAGTCTGACGGAATCCAGAGTCACTGAAATGTAATTGGGCAGCTTGCATGCTAATAGTTACTCTCATAGGAGCACATAGAAAGAAATTTATTGTGACTCCACAACACTCATGGTCTTTAGAATTTGGGGGCTTAAGAGCAGATGACTAAAGGATGACTTTCTAAAACCTAGGGAAGAGATCAGAGAAGGAACTGAGTCAGGAAGGACTCGGAATGTCTCTTGAATAGATTTCCCATGGCTGGGTGCGAAGTTAGGTTTCTGGTGGTTACCAAGGACATATAAATTACCTACATGATTTTTCAGTGACCAGAGCAACTAGAATTCAGCTCCAACAAGGCTGAAGAGAGAAACAAAAGGCAAAACGAGGATGTTAAATAGAGACAACTGATTTTGTGCTGGAAAAACAGAAAAGTCAGGACTGCCTTTGAGATCCCCTCTTCTGAGGCAGAGTGTGTGTACTGTCTTCTAGCCCAGTGACGTGATCCACCTAAGTTCTGCAAGCCAGTTGTTAAATGCAGCCACTATTGAAAATTAAATTATATAAACTTACAGTTAAGTAAGTTCTATAGAACAAAGGAGATCAGTACTCAAAAGTCATCACTTCCCAGTAATTTTACTATAGTTCACTCTTGTCTCATCACCGGAGGTTACTGACTTCTAAGGCATCTGTTCAGTGGAAATGCTCTACTCTGGGGTGCTACTGCTCCTTCTCCCAAATCCATGCCAGGAACACTATATCAGTAGCATGAAATCAGCCATGTAGGAGAATTTACATCACAGAAATGGCAAAAGCTATTCATCAAGGCTTCCCTACCTCCTAAGTACCCCCACCTGCTCCCAAAGACACTGTTAAGCATTTACCACCACAACTGTTTCTCTCCAACTCTGACAAGACTTCATGTAGGAGAAATGCCAAACCACCAAGGGGTCCTTGAAACAAAATCCTGGGAGCAGAAACTCCCCCCCTGCTCACCCAGCAGTGGTGATTGCAGTAATGATCACTGCTATCCGGCCTGGGATGGAAGAACTTCCCTGGCTTCCCTGGTGAGTCATCCTAACAGGAAGTTGTTTCCAGAGTCTCTCTAAAATCTCTCTTACTGCTTATTAATGAGCTTTACTTGCTAGAGCCTCGCTGTTTTCACCCCTTAAATGAAGGTTAAGTCTGAGTATGACTCCCTGGCTCCTGGAATGGGAAAGAGGATGTCATTTGACAAAACCTATACATACGACCAGCGGGCTGTCACCTTCCTTCCCTCACCCCCCTGCAAGTGACTGAGCTGGAGCATCCTCAGGCTGGGAGGGCCCTCCCCAAGTCATCCCGGTCAGTCTTCTGCCTTAGGGCTAAAGTGTGCCAGGACCAGTGCCCTGCCAAAGATCTAACCTTATCTAACAAGTCATCTGATAGGTGCTCACAAATGTGTGCAAATGAATGAAGGGATAGATGGTTCCTGCGTTCTCTGCTCCCCTCACTAAGTAATCCCCTCACCCCCTGTATCCCCACTGATCCCCCAGAACCTCTCACTTCCCCACCTCCCCCCCTTGTCCCTGGCTCCCTCTGTGCCACCATTGTCTCTCTTTTCTTCTTCCAAGGGTCTGTCAAGGCAGAGCCAGCAACGCTATCACCTAATACCCAAGCCAACCAGAAGGGCTTCCTAGTTATTTATAACTAAACAGGGTTTCTGGTCTTCCTCAGTTAAGAAACTTGAAACCCAGATACTTTGAGGTCCATCATACTCATACTTCATGTGGCCCCAGGGTAGGAGCAGGAAGGATTAGGAAGCACAGTTTTGCCTCAAGAGAAAAAGAGCCAAAGAGAGAAGGAAGTGCCTGGACTCTCAGCAGGCAGGTGGCTGGGCAGAGGTAGGCAGAACTGAGTAACTATGAAGTACCATGCTCTTCAGAAGACCCTCAGTCCCTAGACCAGACACAGGGGCAGTTGTGGGCCTGTTGCCGCTATCTTGTATATAGTACAACCACTTGGCCCACTAGAGGCAGTGGAATTGGAAATGTGATGTTTAGGGCTTCCTAGCAGCAGAACGTGGACCAAGGCATAAGAGCTCTGTGGGGACCAAGACTGTGTTCACTAGAAGGAACAAATCTGGTAGTCGAAGGTTGAATAGACGGCACTGGGAGATAGGGTGATGTCAATAAAGGTATTCAGGAAGAGCTTGGAATAGCCTTTGTTAGGAATGCGGTAGAAAGAATCTAAATATCAGAGAAACAGCCTGATATCTTAGATTCAAACATGCTTGGATCAAAACCAGAGTTGTTACCTCTGTGGCCTTGGTCAACATACCTAATCCCTCTGAGCTTCAGTTTCCTTATCTGTGTAATGGGATAATGCACCACCTCAGAGGACTAGAGTAAGGATTAAGTAAGGCAAAATAGCAGAAAGCTCCTGGCACTTAGTGAGTGCCCAATAAATGTCAATCCCCTTTCCACTAAAATGGGGGCTGGGTTAGATGACCTTGAAGCTCTTTCTACCCCAGAGTATGACTCTGAAACCCCTCCCAGTTGTTGAGAGGGAAGGCATACATCTAGGCGAGATAAAGTCAGGATTGGGTAGAGGAGAACAGGAGGAAGAAGGATGTTGAAAATGCTCTGGGAACATTCAGAGAGGTCATCCCTGCAAGTTCCTTGTTTCCTCCCTTCTTGACCTTCTGGAATAAAAGAGAAAACCGGGATTCTGGATTTTAAATCCCGCCCGAGGGGGTCTGTTTCCCCGTCTGTGTAGTGAAGGAGTGGGGTTAGACAGACCCTTCCAGCTCTGACTGCTGCCCATCTAAAGAGGAAATGGTGCAAGAATGATGCAGGACCACAGGGAGCCACGTCCCTCAAACTGCAGCAGAGCCTCCACCGGCCCCATGCCCAACCCTCTGTGGAACCACAGCCACCTGTCTCTTCCAGTTTCTTTATTTTGCTAAAACTGCTGCCTCAGAGCTCAGATCTCACACACAGAACAATTCAGTCCAGAACCCCACCCTCCCGGCCCCGGGGACCTCTGCCTTGGCTGGGGACCCGGGACCTCCGGCCTCAACCTCTCTGAGACACATCCTCCTCCTTCTCCCGGGGCCTTGGGGGCCAGGGGATGCGGAGAGGGCTCCAGGTAGTTGTATCCGCCTGCCTCCCACTTCGGGGAGGAGACTCTGCCTCGCCACCCATTTCCCAAGGGAAATGCCTTCAGTCTGCAGCCCGAGAGTGTCCCCGGCCGCGGGCAGGGAGCCCGCACCTTCTTCCGGCCGGAGCGCAGCCCGGCGGGCGCGCGAGCTCACACCAGCAGACCGTCCTTGCCCGGCCGCGAGCCCTGCGCGCAGTCGGGCTCGGCGCTGGAGACCTTGACGTAGACCGGGGAGGGGCCTGCTTCGCAGGCGGCGGCGGTGCGGGGCGCCAGGGGCACGTCCTCGGGGCCGCCGCTGAGCGGGGGCGCATACTTGCGGCGCAGGGAGCGGCTGACGGTCTGCGTCGGGTACCCCAGCAGCTGGGTGACGCGGCTGCCGCGCCCACTGGCCTTGCACCCGGGCGCCACGGCGTCCTCTCTGTGGAGACAACAGGCGGGCGGGTGAGCGGGCTCCTGGGCGACGCGGCGCGGGCCCGGCCTGGCGCAGCCGTGGCCACCTCTCGGCTCCCGCGCTCCCCTCCCGGCAGGCGCCTCCCTGCCCCGGCCCTGGCCTCCACCTTCTCTGCTCTCTGCCTCTTCTTGGGCCCGCGACCCCACAGTGGTCCTGGGGCATTCCTAACCTCTGGACAGGGCTTGTCCACACGTGTCCGGACGGCCCACGACAGGCAGCCCTATCTGATGTTTTCCCAGAATCACCGACTTTCATAGCGTGGGAACCTGGGAGATACAGGGGCTGCTTCCCTGGTCCTTTCCTGAGCTAACCCTGACCTTGCCCTCGCTCCCTTTCTTCTCGCCTCCTGCCCTTCCGTCTTCCTCTTTTCCTCCATCCCCAGAGCGTGGCAATCATTAGCACTACAGGTCTTGTTCTATTTTTATTTCTAGTTTCTAATATAAGTTATCCGCACTATTCTTATGAACGCTTCTTAAATAAACATGTCCAGAGTTCTCACCAGCTCTGTACAGGGGAAACGTGGAAAAATACAGGCCCTGCCCTCCAGGAGCTTACAATCTAGACAAAACGGAGAGGGGTGCACAGAGGTGGGGGGCAGGGGAGCAGAGCTGAAGACCGGGCATGGGAACGGAAGGGAAAGCCGTGAGCCCCGTGGCAGGTCGACATGCTGCAGTCCAGCACTCCGGCGATGGCGGGCAAGGCTGGAGTGGCAGGCAGGGGTGAGGAGGGGCAGGGCGCCAGTCCCCTGTCGCACAGCAGCATGCAGCATGCATCAGGTTTTACCTGATCTCATTAGCCAAGTCTCCGCAGGCCCCTCCGCCGACCCCGCCGCCGCCGTTGCTGTAGCCGAAGGCGCCGCGGGAGCCGCCAGCCCCGCAGCAGCAGCAGACGAGCCCCCAGATGCCCACCAGCAGGCAGCCCAGCGCGAGCAAACAGCCCAGCACTGCCCCGATGATCATGCCTACACGCCGGGTGTCTGCGGAGAGAAGGAGAGACTAGTCAGGCTCTCTGTAGCCTGGCAGGGGCCAGGGCAGAACATCTATGGGAAAGGGGCTCCGGGCCCTGGGACACTCAGTGAGGAAGATTTGGGGAGATGCAAGTTAACCCCTTATATTTGCATGTTTCTCCCAGGGCTTCCCACCTGCCCTCGGCAGAAACCTACACACATGCAATGGGCAGGCAAAACACAGCCTAGGTTCCTCCAATCCAGCTACAGGGCCCCCAAGGCCTCTGTACTTACCTGAGACCTTCACCTCCACCACACACACACTGTAGCCCACATGGTTGGCCACCGTGCACTGATACAGCCCATCGTTCTCATGGGAGATGTCCTTCAACACCAGATCTCCGTTGTTCAGCAGACCTGAAACTGAAGTTGCAGCACAGAGCTACAGCAAGGTGGAGAGACCTGCTGTCTGAGAGCCACACCCCAGCCTCGGGCCCTGTGGGGTGGGGGAGGGAAGGAGGGACAGTTTGTACACCCACACATTCAGATCCACTCCACTCCAGATGAGTCACCTTCCCCCTGCTGAAACAGAGAAGCAGGGAAGGACCCCTCGCCAGTAGGACAGAGACGGTATTAATTCACTCTGTCCCTTCTCTGAGCCTTGGTCTCCTTTGCACAGTAAAGATAAAGTTGGACCAGAAGACTTCTAGGCTCCCTCCAGCTCTGATCATCTTGGTTGGATCTTGAATACTAGCTCGCTTCTCGTATGCCGGCAGCTTTGCACACTTCACCCCATAATCCTCACAGGCCCCTGGAAGGTAGCTTATTCCCTTTTCATACATGATGAACCAAGGCACAGACAGGTTAGCCACTTGCCTGAGGCGTGCACCCAGTCAGTGGTCCACCCAGGATTCACACCTAGCAGCCTGTCTCAGATGGTTCTTTCCAAATTAACCATACTGCTTTGGGCCAACCCTCCCTCATCCCTTTGCCTCCTCTTCTCTCAATGGCGACTTCTGAAACAGGCTCGGAGGAGGTGTCTCCCACAGGGGTTCTAGGTTTGACTTGGTGCCACTGATGATTCAGAGAAGCCCCAGTGGGTCCCAAAGCCCTGATCTTCCAGTCATCCCGCCTCCCTCTTCCCGGGCCCCCTCACCTTGATTTATGGAGCTGTGGAAGGACTCCTGATAGGACAGCTCAGAGTGGAAACTGTGCTGGGAATGATAGGATCCTGCACGGTAGGGGTGGGTGTGCCCACTGATCTTGGCCCACTTATAGGAGAGAGGCGGGGTGCCCCCATTGGCAAAGCACTTTAGCACCAAATCGTTGCCATGTGCCATGTGGCCCTCAGACCAGCACATGGGCACGGCAGGCCGAGCTGCAAGAGAACAGGCAATTGTGAGCCAGGCTACAAGAGGCAGAGACAGCTCAGAGTGGCCAAGCCACCCATAGCTCTGAAGTCTGGGGAAGGAGAGCCCAAAGGACTGGCCATACCTTGGACGGTAACAATGACCTTCCGGGTGGCCATGGTGGTCTTCTTCACCCGGCACTCATAAGTGGCTGTGTCTGATACCTGCAGGTTCATGAGGTTGATGGAGGCATCATACTGGCTGGGGTCTGAGGCTGCAAAGCGGACCCTCTGCTGTAACTGGGGGAGGTTGCCATGGTTGATTCTCTTGTCCTGGTAAGTAAGGAACTGTGAAGAAGAGAAGAAAACAGATGTGAGACAGGCAGAGCCAAGCAGGGCCGTGTGGATTGGCTCCCTTGGGCAAGTCACTCAACTTTGCTGAGACTCACTTTTCTCAGCTGAAAAGTGAGAGTGATAAGGCCTGGTCCACTGACCTCTTACAAAATAGGCGAGATCAGATAAGAGCAAGAACTTTGGAAAGCATAAAGGCAGGCTGGGAACGTCTTTTTTTTTCATTCTCACCCAAGGATATGTTTATTGATTTGAGAGAGAGAGAGGAAGTGAGAGAGAGAAACATCGGCAAGAGAGAGAAACATTGATTGGTTTTCTCCTATACATGCCCCAGCTGGGGACTGAACCCACACCCTAAGTATGTGCCCTGAACAGGAATCAAGCCCACAAACTTTTGGTGAACAGGATGATGCTCCAAGCAACTGAGCCACCCGGCCAGGGCATGGGGACTTCTTGAAGAAAAGTACCACCCTTTTGGAGTGATTGCGGAGTTCTCATCCTTGTTGCCCTGTTCCACGAGAGTCCGTGGGTCTTAGTTCGGGGTCTTAGTTTTATCATCTGCCCTCGTCTCCCCTCCGTGTTGGCTTCCCACCACGGAGTGTAGGGTAAGGGGAACCAGTGCCCAGCACTCACCACATTCTCCCGATGTGAAGGGTCTGAATTGACCTGCATCCACTCAATGTCCAGCCCACTGGGACCATAGTCCTCAGGGTCCAGGATGTAGGGGCAGCCCAGTCTCACATTGTCACCTTCTGCCAGGTACAGGACCTCCTGGCCATCCCCGTTGATCCGCACAGCAGACAGCAGTGCTAGGGGAAGAGCAGACCGGGTAGGGGAGGGGAACAGAACCACAAGTTGGGTAGTCGGCTTCAGTCTCTCCCTCCACCGTTCTCTATCAGCAGCAACCCAGGCTCTATGAGGGTGCCACAGGGAGAGGGGGCTGCTCTGAGTGTGTGTCTGTGTGTGTGCATGAAGCAGCATATGCAATTCTGTGCAAACTTGTGTGTGCATGTTTATATACTACGATGTGTAGGATTGCATCTGAATCCTCTTTGTATATATATAGCCATTAGTTATGCTTGTTTGTATGCATGATTGTGTATGCACAGATGAGTATGTATACATGTGTACATGAGTGCTTATGAGTATTTGTGACTGCTTATGTGTACTGTGAGGATGCTCATGCCATGACCAGGTAAGTTGTCTGCTTTTAGATTTACATGATTGTGTGTGTGTGTGTGTGTGTGTGTGTGTGTGTGTACAGTGTACACATGGAGAACACAGCTGTTAAATGCTCTGACAGAGGAGCCTGGCTGGTTAAAAGCTGCTTCTGAGTGGGCTAAGTAAGATACTCCTGTCAGTGAGGTGCTCCTGTCAGTGAGGTACTCCTATCAGTGAGGTACTCCTATCAGTGAGGTGCTCCTGTCAGTGAGGTGCTCCTGTCAGTGAGGTGCTCCTATCAGTGAGGTGCTCCTATCAGTGAGGTGCTCCTATCTGGAAGCAGGAGGATAGACACCATAGCTCCTGCGGTCCCTTCCCAGCCCAAGGAGTGGAATACTGGAGATGCCCATGTGTGTGTTGTGTATAATGGTGTGTGTCTGTGGCTTTCTGCCTGTATGTGACAGCAGGTGCCTGCTTGTGTCAGTGCTCTGCATGCATGACAGTGGGTGGGTGTGACCAGGCTGTGTTTGTGTGGCATAGTGAATGATGGTGTGTACCTGGGATTGTGGCCACATGCGTCTGTAGGACAATGTGAGCCTTGCGTGATGATGTGTAGCACTGTGGACTTTGTGTCCTACCCTCGTGTGAATGTATGGCTCAGGTCCAGCTGCCCCTACATGCTCACTTCAGTCGGGTCCCCTCCCACTGCTGCCAGCCTGTTCCACTGAGTCAGCCTGGGTGAGGACCTGGCATCTGGAAATTCACCACTGAGCTTCTCTCCTTTTCTATTCTGAAGCCCCAGGCAAGCACTAGCCCCAACCAGTTGGACCTAGAGAGGAACAGAAGGGGGTGTGCCCAGGGCTCCAACCTTGACAGGCAGGGCAAGTAGGCTCTGCTTCCCAATCTCCTGCACCCCTCTCTCCCCATGTCCCTTGCCCAGCCTGGATCACTCTCCTGCATTTTTAGTTGAGGGGCAGCAAGTCCTTTGGAGATGCAGCCCTGATCTCAGCAACTCAGTCTGCCCTGCGCTTCTCTGGCTCTTTCTTGAGACCACCTTCACAGTTAGAGAGCATCTCATACACACAATTACACTTGATCGCAGCCAAACATAAAACATAGACACACTCTATGCAGTTCCACCTTCCTGCACACAAATACTATCAGATTCACGTGAACACACGTCTGCACACCTACACAGGCCCAGATCAATCAGAAGATATGCCCCCTGCACACCACATAGCCCAGGTGTGCTCATTCAGGACCAGGCATACTGCAGCAGCTTACCCTGGTTCTAAAGAGCCCGCCTACACTCTTGCCACACCCCCGTGGCTCAGGCATCACTGAACCTTGCCCTCAGAACCCTGGCTAGGCCGTCAGGCTCCAGGGGCACCCAGAGCAAGCAGGCTAGCTGCTGGGGCTCTAACGGAACCTGGTGATGCCTCCTCCAGCCCCAGGCCAGGAGAACATCAGCTCATTTCTGAGATAAGGATCCTGATGCCATCTGCCAGATCCTGGGGCAGCACAAGGCAAGCCAGGGACGAGCCAGAATTCAGCAGAGAGCAGAGGCTCCACCCTAAGGAGGGGCTCCTGGAAGCAACCCACAAAGAGGACTCTTCCCTGCACCTGGTGGGCAGCCCACAGGAGGGTAAGTATTCAGGGCAGGGAGCTTGGGAAGGAGGGGCAAGCTGGAAGAAGAGTGTGCCTTCACCCAGCGCTAGGCTGGGGGTCTCACTGTCCAGGCCAGGGAGCCTCACCCCAGCCTTTCGGTCTCCCTGAAAGCCTTCTCAACCTCTCCTAAGGTCTCTGGCCTTTCTGCACTCCTTTACTCTCCTGGGGAAGTTCTTCTTAGTGTCTCACCCTGATTTCTCTCACTGTGGCATAATGACAGAAGAGAGAGTCTGGAGAAAGGGAAGAAATTCACGGTGGAAGAGAATACTGGGCAGGGAGATTTGGAGAAAGGAAGGGAAATCACAGTGGGTTCCAAGAAAGAGGGCAGTGGTGACTAATTGTCCCCCCACAAAAGCACCAGGGGCTGCACACCCTCTGTGGATGTCACCTCAATAGTCGTGTCAATTCTCAACTTGTAAATCCTTTGTGAATTTTCAAGCTGCTTCCAGAGCTCCTAACCCTCCCGCTGGAGGTGAGGAAGGAGTCAGGAAGGGAGGGGAGAACAGGCGGCCCCCCCAAGAGTATATTGGTGCATCAGTGCACGCAGCACACACCCAGCACACATGCCACACATGGAGAGGTCCCAGCTCCCCATGGCACAGCAGAACTTCCTGCATGGGCTCTGCCAGCTCAGCTCTCACCAAGTGGAGGGTGTTCCAGACCTTCTGCCAGAAACTCGATCGTTCACACACACACACACACACACACACACACACACACACACGCTCACTCACACACTAACATACAAACACACATAAAGGCTAAAAGTATTTTCCCCTTCATGAGCTCCTTCCCTCACACTCCCTCACCCCCAACCCAAACCCCAGGTTGGGTCTCAGAGCCATTTCCAGCAATGCCCACACACAGTGGCTCTTGCTGAGACTTGCCCCGACCTGGGCCGGTAGCCATGACATCAATCCTGAGCTCTGTCCTCAACGTGCACCCCAGTGGGAAGAGGGGTCTCTGAGAGTTGCTGTCCCCACCTTCCTCGGGCCTCATCCTGGAGGGCGAACACTGCCCTGGAACTCTCACAAAAAGGGTCTGGGTGGAGGCCTCAGGTCAGGGCTCTGACGGGGAGTGCTGGGAGCAGCCACTCCGGCACAGTAGCCTGAGGCTCTGCCCTCTGCCCTGGGCTCTGGCCTGGGGTGGGGGTCCTCCTGCTGGACAGCACGCACGCTGGTGAAAGGGGCCCTTCCCAGGCTCCTCCTCAGCCCCCACCCAGCTTTGCTGCTCACCTGACCATCCACCCCACTCCCTATACTCTTAGTCACAGCAGGTATGTGCATGTGTGAACCCCACAGTGAGAGGACATCAAAGGCCTGTGCCCCAAACCTTCAGGCATGGGGCTCTCCTGGGGAGGGCCCCTTGGCAACATCCAAACCTGGGTGGCAGCTGGGCGAGGGTGGGCCGTGCCCTGCCAGGACATCTCAGACAACTGCCCCCTCCCAACCCTGCCCCTTTGTGCCCCCTCGCCGCCCCTTTCCCTGCCCACCGAGGATTGTGCAGGCACCCCTGCCTGCCGCCCAGCCCCGTACCTGGGCTCAAGCACAGGAGGAGAAGGTGGAACATTCCTGGAACTCCCATGTCTCTAGGTTCCGTGCTTCCTCCGCCTGGCTGGGTATCCTTGGGCCGGTGCTGTGGCCGGTGTGGTGCGTGTGTGTGGGGATGGGTGGAGGGAGGGGGAGAGAAAGCCCAGACACTGCCCCGGGGTGGCAGGAAGATACAGTGAGTGCCCGGCTGGGGAGCAGCCAGAGTTATTTCTATGAGAGGGAGGGGGCCAGGTCCCGCCTTGGGGAGGAGTCCCCAAAACCCTAATTATCGGGGTGACAGAGTGGCCTACCCAGGCATTACCCAGCCATCACCCAAGCTCTTCCCCATCCAGAGAGTGGGGCAGGGCTGCCGGTGGGACTTGTAATTAGGCACCTGTTAAACTTCCATTTCCTTCTGGCCCATCCTCAGGTGACAATAGTCACCCCATTTTATGACATCTGTGGAGCTCCCCTCACCACCGGGGTTTGTTACATTCTTCTCCAGGGGAAATGGACGAGGAAGGAGAAGCTGGACTTGAGGAAGCAGGGTATGCAGGCCTTGAAGGGGGTCTGACACACTTTCCAAATCCTGCCCCTCCCACCCCTGATCTTCGGAAGGATGCTCCTCAAGTCGAGGTCTGAGGGAAGAGGCACCAAGGAAGGGGACACGAGGGCTTGAGGCCCAAGCAGATGAAAGGGACCCAGGAATGCCCAGCCCTTCTTCTACCTGAGGCCTCTAGCCCTTTAAAGAGAGTCAGCCCACTGAGCTGAAGGAGGGAGGGAAGTGTGAGTTTGGGATCGAGGTCTTCCCCGGCTGCCCCCTCTGTGCCCCCAACCCATACCTGGTGGAGGGGATCCCTGGGAGCTGGGAGTATTACAGGGGTCCAGGCCGACCTCCCACACAGAACTGAAACCAGTTCAGTGAGGCACCAGGGGAGAGGGCCAGGGGTATGGAGGCAGTGCAGTCAGCGACTGGGTCAGCGAGGGGGTGTTGGGGAGAATAGCACCAGAGGGCCAGGGAAAGGGGTGTGCCTGTGTGGGTACCCACTCACTGGGATATTGCCACGTCTCTACTAAGGAGGGCTAAGCCCCCTGTGTGCACTTCTTTTAGGGACTGTTTGGTGTCCTTGCTTCTGTGCACAGGAAGAGAGACCAAGGACCCTCATAATTCGACTGCTCGTCAGGGTGACTAAGCCAACAAGGTCTGAGCAAGTTAGAGCTTGGGTAGGAGGGTCCTGGTGGGCAGAGGGGCAACCCTTGCTGATTGATCCAGGGGGTCCCAGAACAGGCCTTGGGCCTCCCATGGGCATCAGGAGAGGTGGGTCAGGTCAGGAGTGGCCCCACACAACAGCCCACCCCTATCCCTGACAAGGCACAGGAAGGACAGGAGAAGAGTCTTGGGGAGAGTTATGAGACTCAGGGATACTCCCAGGAAAAATAAGAGAACAATAAGGAAGCATGAGAATCCTACACATTGCTGCACTCCAAACCCTTCCACCCCCGACAATAACAGGGTGTTCTTGGACCTGCCAGATTACACAATGGATATCCTCATTTTCTTATTTATTTTGAGATTTATGGGATTGCCCTGCACACTCTGGAAAGCAGGGATCATTATTCCCACTTTTAAAAAGTGGAACAGAGACCTGGAGAAATATGAGGGCTCAGCTCAGGTGATACTGCTGGGGCCTGACCAAATAGGGGACACCCAAGCACCCTGATTCTCAATCCAGAGTGATCTAAGAAAAGGGCGTGTGACCCTGTGGGTTACTAGATCCACCCATGGGGGCAAAGCATGGAAGGGCGGTGATGGGTAGAGGGGTGTGCAGGTGGGACCAGGAAGAGGGAGACTAAAGAGAAAGGAAAGTAAGGCTGCAGTGTAGGGTTGGGAGCAGAATAGGGTTGGGATGAAGGCTGGATTAAGGTTGGGGTGAAAGTTGGGGTTAGTTGGAATGCTGAATGAGGCTGAGGTCAGATTTGAGGTTGAGATGGTAATTAAGGTTGAGATTAGGGTCAGTGTAATAGTTTGGACTGAGGCTAGGGTTGATGGGCGGGATCCGTGTTACGATAAGGAATAGCGTTTTAGTGTCATTTACAGCCATGCCTGAAATGCAGTGACAGCTCAGTCAAAGGCTGCGTGGAGACTGATTCAGGATTGGGAGTACAGCTGGGTTGGAATTGAGTTTAGGGTTCAAATTAGAATAAACTGTGGTTATACTATGGATTAAAGTTACGTGGGCAGGAGGATTCACGGGGATCAAAATTAGGCTTTATTTATGATACAGAAAGACCTCAGCCTCCATCTGCTAAAGCCAAGTTTGGCTTGATGTTTTATCCCTGGGAGAATACCAATGGCACATTTTGATTGGGGGCCCAAGATTTTGGGGAGAGTTTCAAATATCCATGAGCCCATCAGGCTCATGATGAGTATGAAGCAAATTAATCCAATGAAAAGGGATTTGGGGAGGGGATACAGGAAGCTATTTGTAATGAGTGGGGCTCTGGCACCACATTGAACTAATAGATGGGGTCTCTCAGAAACGGTTTTACTGGGGGTGTGTCCTGGCTTTGGAGTCCAAGAGATGGGAGCTGGGGAAGACTGAGGGCCTAGGTGCTCCTAGAACAGCCACTTTTGAGGGCACCACGCAGGGGCCCCTCCAAACCTCAAAAGGCAAAGCACATTGTTGCTCTCCTCTGACCCATTGAGGGCTAATTGCCACCTCCTTGCAATTTGGAGCCCATAAAAAATGCTGTCAGCCTTCCTGCCTTGTACCCTGAGCCCTGCCAGGTTTTGGGGGGCAGTGGTGGAGTAAGGGTACTAGGTATCAGTTTAGTTTTTATAGCATAGGTCTAGCCCATGGCCCCCATCCCACAGGCCAAGTTTTTCTCCAGCAGAAAAAGAGGGCTCACTGCTGGGAAGGCCCCTACCCAACTCCTCTCTCTCCTTTGTCCCCACCTAGTCTTCACCCCAAACATCCCATTCCCCCACCCACTTCTTTTTCAGGTTCCATAAAGGTATGGACAGAATCTGGAGACCACTGGGTTTCCCTCCATGCCACGAGGATACACCGTGATTACTAAGACGTAGAAGAACACATGTGGCACCCAAATGGCTCATTCAGGGGTTCAGAGAGAGAGAGACAGAGGCAGCAGATGGCCAGGCTATGACCTAGGGCCCAGCACACAAATTTCCAAAAAGGGTCCTTGGTTTTCCCTGTAAGATTTAGAGCTGTCCAGGGGAGAATGGCCCCTCTTTTGTGCATACCCCACAGTTTGGGTTGTATTTGCTTCCATTCTAAGACAGAAACAGAAACCCGAAGACAGAGGCTTAGAAAGCAATGAACAGAGACAAAGGAGAAGGGAAGAGGCAGGTCAAGAACCGAGAGCAGCCCAGACACTGCTTCTGAGGTACGGTGCAGCCTGACCCCAGAACACTGGGGGAAGGGCAGGAGGAGGACTTGGCCTGCCTCATCTTCCTCCAAAGTGCCCTTGACAGCAACTTGGCACCATCCCTGTAGCCCCTGCCCTCACCTGCCCAAACTGTCCCTCATCTCCTTCTCCAGACCCCCTGAGCTCAGGCTCAGGTTCCCATCTCCAGCCCCCAGGTCTGCAACTTGACCCTTTCTGAAACACACACACACACACACACACACACAGTCACCAGGCCCCTGAGCACCTCTCCCCAGTCCTCGTGTAGACCAGGCTCACCGCTGCAGCCCCAGGAGTGAGCAGCAGTATCCTGAGGAAAGGCCTGGGAGCAGGGGACACGAGCGGTGCAGGATGGCCCACATGCTAAGTCTCAGAGAGGGCAGACCAGGCACTACCGTCACAGAGCCGCCAGGGAGCTGCCTTTTCTCCCAGCTCAGTGCGGGTTTGGGCTTGGACAAGCACCAGCTGAGGCCGTGCTTTGAGGAGAAAAGCGTGGGGCTCAGAAGTGGTACAGTGATGTGATGGGAGAATGTCAAGTTCAGCTGAGGCGGGGTCAGAGGTAGTTACAGAATGAGAAATGAAAGCCACGTGTGCAGTTCTGTTTCAGAATCTAGGTTAGGGTTGGGGACTGAGGTCCAGATGAGGACCCGCAAGCAAGAGTTTCTGACATGTGACCTAGGGACTTCCTGAGCCCCTGCTCAGGCTTCCCAAGCCTCAGCAGTCCCTGCTGGTCCACCTCAGAAGAAGGGGGATGCCAGGAGGGACCCTGGGTAGGCCCACATCTCCTCAATGACATCCTGGAGCTGGCCCGGACTCCTGAGAACAAATAGCACGGAAAGGGGCCCCATCAGTGAAAGGAGGGGCCATCAGCAGATCACCACATCAAAGGGTGGTTGATTAAATGTTATGCACTGAACTGTTATCAGGGAATAATGGAGGAAAGAGAATTCACTTGTAAAGAGTGTGTGAATCCCTGATGACAGACCTGAAGAAGAATTAAGGGATCCTAAAGATAAAATATTTTTACCTCCCTGAGATCAACCATGTACCACAGCACCTTCATCTACTCAGCAGATGGGCTGGGACTTGCACTAGGCCCTGAGGAGCAGCGATTAGTGAAGCGAAGTGTCTGTCTTTCTAGAGCATCCAGTCCGGTGGGGGAGACAGACAAGGGAAGGGGTGCCAACCCCTCATCCCAACAGGATGAGCTGTGGTGAGCACAGCAAGGTCCCTGACCTGGTGGGAAGGATGTTTAAGCCGAGATCTAAGGGATACCCGAGGATGTGCGGGAGGGTTGGAAGTGGAGAGAGGTGGCCAAACGGTAACTGTGGTCCTTGGAAAATAAACCCGGGCCCTGCCAGAGACTACAGAGAAGAGAGTCAAGTCAAGAGAGACAGATGATGGTTATTTTTGGACTGAGGAGGGGAGATCCTTGAGAACTGAACCCCTGGGGACCCTCTACCCAATCCACCAGAGCACTCACTGGGATCAGAGCCAAGCCTTTCGTGTGTATGTTTGTATGTGGAGAGAGACCTTGCGATGGACTAGCCCATATGCCCACTGGGACTCGGACCCTTGAATTTGCAGAAATAAAATTTGCCTTTGATTCTCCAGTCTGGGTTCCTCCAGTGCATATCCACAGGGGGGACT